GCTGACCCTGGCAGGTACAAGGATGGGAGATCTCCAAAGAATACCAGGGCCGGGAGGCAGAGGCAGGCCATCAAGCCACTTCTCTGAATGTCTTCCGTGCCCTAGTAGGAGTTGCCAGAGGTTGCCATGACTTCTAGGCATGGGCACAAACATGCACGCACACACACACACACAATGCAAAACAGGGGGGAAAAACCCTAAAAATGAACTGGGACTAATAAAATGATAAACAAGGGAAAGCAAGGACTATCCGACTCATCTAGAAACAATCTTATGCAGACACCTTTGCCATGTTGTGCACTGAAATGTTTTTTATTATCAATATATGTAGATTAAGGGGTGTGCAAGCACATGAGCTACACACTTTTCACCAGAATCAGGCAGTCCTTTATGTCTGATCAAATTATGTGCGCCATCAAAAGCCTACATATTCTTAAACCCAGAACTGGCCCTATATCTCTTTTTACCTCCTGCCTATTTATTGTTTGTTACTCTAAATATCAATAACTGCTATGGATGTGTACTCCATGCATCTGAGAAAGTGAGCTCCGGTCACACAGGCCGGATATCGTGGGGGGGAGGTGTGGTTGTTTGCCCCAGAGCGAACTATTGCGCGGCCGCTGGATCAAACGTCCCACCGACGTCCTGTGGTTCCGGGGGAGGTGCCAATCATACGTCAATCCTGCGGCACGGCAAAGAAGCGACGCGGCGGGGGATGTGGGTTTTTTTAAACCGAAGTGTGCGCATGCGCCGTTGGGTGCTTGTGCGCATCCCGTGGAGACTTGAGGGGGAAAAAACCTTTTCGCGATGGGACATGGGCGGGCGCCGGATGACACGAGCTACCACCGGAAACGTGATCAGACCCCCGCCCTTGCCCCGCGGTTTCCGTAAACTAGTACCTTGGAGGTACTAGTTTTTTTACGCCACATCTTCAGTGGGAAGCCTCGTTTTAGCCATGGGAGCTCTACGCTTCCCAGATGTTGCGGTTTGATCGCTCCCAGAAAATCCGCCTATCTTCCGTCTCTGTAGCGGGGCTAATGCTCCGTGTGTCCGCAGCCTCTGACTGACAAAAGCTGATGCTGGAATAAATTTTGTTAGTCTAAGGGGCCACTTGGTTCCTCTTCTATTATTTTTATCTCCATATCTAAACTTGCTTTTTGCCCTAACATGGATAGCCCAGGATAGCCTGATCATGTTAGATGTCAAAAACCAAACAAGGTCGGCCCTGATTCATATTTGGATGGGAGACCATCGAGGGAGTCCAAGGTTGCTACACAGAGGCAGGCAATGGCAAACTACCTCTGCGTAGCTCTTGCCTTACGGGGTCACCATAAGTCAGTTGCAACTTGACATCAAATAAGAAAAAAAAAGCTTGCTTTTGGATTTTGTTAGGGGAGAAACTCTCTCCCACTGTGAGTGTGTATGTATAGATGCACACACAGTGGATCCCACCGAGGCCTCCAAATGCTACCCCATCCATTTATGAGCACAGGACTACAGGAGCACGGCAGTGGCAGAGCTAAATCCAGTCTGTGTTGACTTGGTGGCAAACCACAGTCATCTCCTCTTTCTTTCCTTTACTGAAAGGCTCGAGGACTTTTGCCCATTGTCAGTTTATTTAAAACTCATCCCTGGAGGCAGAGAGAAAACTGACACCACCACCACTACCCAGCCTTTCCGTTTATACAAAATGTCGGTGATCACTGATGTTAACATGTGCACACACACATGCCCTGGATAAGATACAACCAGAGAGAAGCAAGCTTGGAGGCTTTGTTCCATAGAATACCTTTAGGAGTTTGTTCTGATCATAATACTACAACATTTCCAGGTGTGAGGATTAATCTATGCAGTTTCCAGTTAGGAGTGGCTTCGGAGGGAGGATTAAGGTGGTAGCTGTTCAGAATGGGAATCTGAGGCAGAAATAGCTGGAAGAGTGAGCACTAAGGCATGCCCCTGTTCAAAGACCCATGGGTCAGCCCAATCTTGACTTAAGGTGCTGGGGAAAAAATGTAATGTGAGGAAGATAATATATGCTTCTGCGTGCAAAGGAAGACTTACAAATGTCTGAACTTCAAAGACAGCTCCTGAGCTCCCAGAAGCTGATACATTTGCTAACCTTACCGTGTTACATTTCCTTGTATCTTAAATTAATCTGGGAAGCAGCCCTGAGAATGAAGAACACTGAAAAAGCAGAGCATGTAATGCTTCAGCCTGAAATAACAGGGCGTGGGTGGAGAGCAAGGGGCATTTGGCAGGTCTAGTGCCAACAGTTCCAAACACAGACATGGTTGCCCTACTAACAAATTCCAACATGTTCTTTGAATATGCAATTGAAACATAACGAGCATTGCAAATGGTTAGTACCTGCTTACTATGCAGCCCTTTGTTTCTTCGCTGCATAGTCTGTGGCTTCAGATCCTCAATTCCCTGTCCTTACTCCCCCCCCACATACACACACCAGTTGCATTCTGTCTCTCCTTTCTTGCTCTTTCTCACACCGATCCCTATCAACATGGTTTGCACTCTGTGCAGCCCATATAATGCAACTGGGTCCTTTTATGCAAATAAACAACATCCAATGCATATTTGCATATCTGGGCATATTTGTGTAACTTGGTGCAGAATGCCCCCCCCCCAGTCAAAGCACAGTATTACCATGGGGGGGAAATGCCTATGCACAGAGCCACTTTCAGAAGATCATTATGCACCAATCCTTATAAAGCAGAAGCATTTGGACCTGTATAAGGACCAACCATTGTCTTCTTATGAGCATCTGCAGGGTGTCCTTATCTTCTTCTGAATCCTACCATTAGTTATCTTTTATCTTGAGACAGAAGGTTGAGCTGGTTTCTGGGAACTGTGGATTACTTGCAAGTTTATTAGTGGTTCTTCAGTGAGAAGATCAGTCATGATGACCAAGCTTTCCAGAAAGGCAGCTTATCCCCCACTAATGAGCTTCTGCTGTAATGTGTAGCCCCAGGTAAATATTGGGTGTGTTCCAGAATACACTCTCAGTTCACATGAGACAACTATGCAGTCAAAAGATCAGCCCTATGCTAATAGGAAACTGTGAAACTTAAAACAGGGGAGTGGCCATGGCTCTGCGGTAGAGCACCTGCTTTGCATGCAGAGGGTCCCAGGTTCAATTCCCAGCACCGCCAGTTTGGTTTTTTTTAAAGGCACTAGGCGATGTGAAAGACCTCTGTCTGAGACGCTGAAGAGCTGCTGCCAGGGTCTGAGTAGACAATACTGAGCTTGATAGAGCAATGGTCTGATTCATTACTAGGTAGTTTCATGTGAAATCCCCCCCCCCGGTGACCTGCTGCAAGTCACAGGACTTGTAGTACTCATGAGATTCCTTGGAAAGTTAGAAAGGCTCCTTGAATGTAAAGATCACTGGCTTAAAAAGGAAAGGTTCCCTTGCTCGAAAGCCAGTCGAATCCGACTCTAGGGTTGCGGTGCTCATCTCCGTTTCAAAGCCAAAGAGCCAGCGCTGTCCGAAGACGTTTCCGTGGTCATGTGGCCAGCATGACTAAACACCAAGGTGCACGGAACGCTGTTACCTTCCCACCAAAGTGGTACCTATTTATCTACTTGCAATTTCTTGCTTTCGAACTGCTAGGTTGGCAGGAGCTGGAACTAGAGACAGGAGCTCACCCCGTCTTGCGGCACCCGGGTCTTGAACTGCTGAACTACTGACCTTCCACAGCCTGCAGTACAGCGTCTTAACCACTTGAGCCACCGCAGCTCCATCACTAGCTTAGGCCATTTATAAAATACAACTGTAGAACTGTGTTAATTTTCGTTCTTTATTTAAAAATAAAAGACAATATTTATAGGACCTTAAGGACTGACTTCTCTTGTTTCGAAAGCATGAGCTTGTAGACTACTTGCTTGGAAATGGCTAGGCCGTTGAGATTGCACAATGTTCCTAACACTTGGCCCCATTCTTTCAATATTCAAGTGTGGTTTCCATTACAATCCCTTCTCTACTTCTCTAACATCTTCAGTATCACATAATAACCAGGAAACTGGATCCAAGTTATCTACATTACAGTTTTAAGAAAAAACTAGACTAGGAATAGGCAACTTTGGGGCCCAGATAATGAAAAAAAATGCAGTGTCTACCTGTGAAAATGTCAGTATGCTGGCAAACAAAAGGATGCTGGGGAGACCACACTTGGCCAAACACACTATGAGCAAGCCAAACCCCAGCAGAACTACCAGTGGCTCAGACCTTGGACTCAGCTGCAGAGGTCTAGGGGTGTTCATGATGCCTCTCTTCATCTCCCAAGCTCCTGGTCCCAGAAGCACTGCCAGCACCTCAGGGGCTCTCCTTGGCTCTTTGGTCAGAGAACCAACCCTGCATACTAAGACAAGGGGCCTACTGTGCCACTGCTTGGGCAGCATGCCAGGGGCTGCCGGCCCCAAAACTAGACGACACTACAACATGGTACTACAGAACAAGAACATAAGGTACTCTCTCTTTCTCTCTCTCCCGCTCTTCTCCTTCCTTCCAGTGGATTACGCCAGCAATACAAGGTAGACTGATGTACCAGTTACTTATTACTGTGTTGCACTTCCTTCACCCCCTTCACTCAGAGTATCAAGGCACGGTTCATTTTGACTAATATGCATCCACCATCCTCATACTTTGATCCTTATCTACTCTGTCTGCTTTAAGTATGATCTCAGGCATCATCCTCTACCGTTCTTTCAGCACTTACCCCCATGTTCTCCACAAAAGGTACATACAAAATGTCAGGTAAGACACAAAAGTGATGAGTCCAAACGATAAATGATGCTTCTCTAAAACACACAAATGTGTGCATTGTTGACAGTCCTGCGACATTATTAACAAAAGATTATACATAATGGTCATGTGATACTTTCTAACGTAATGGATCCACGGGGGTTCAACATTGCACGATATAGGACATCAGTCTGATTCACTGAGCTGCGAGTTGTCAAAACAGGACACTGGCTTGGCCATAGGACATCAGTCTGATTCACTGAGCTGCAACCAGCAAAAACCAGCAAAAAAATGTCCCTTTTCTTTTGTTCTGAGTAGAAAGTTCCATGATGCCTTAGAGAGGCAAGTTATTTTTGGACACTCAGAAACCAAACATCCCACATAGGCTTCTTCATAAGGTGCTTACAGTTATATTCAGGCTCCACCTCTAGATGGCAGTCATCTTTCTGGTTAACACTCGGAACAAAGTGGCAGGTTCACAGTGGCTCCTTCAAGGTCAGCCACTAGGTGTACTGAGTAGGGAGGTTCTCTTTTGCCTACAGAGACATCACTTAGTACCTGGCATGCTCAGCTTGCATAAACTGAGTTCCTTTTCCTTAGTCCTCATGGTTCGGTTCAGTTCAGCTGCTTGCCAAGCCCTGTGGAGGAATAATTTCCTCTTGCCACACCCAGTGCAACCAGGTCTTCAGTCTAGCTTAAACATCCTTAGATGGATGAGTACCACCACAGAGGAGGCTAAAGAGAGTATAAAAGCCACTCGATAAGCCCACAGCAGTTGGCAGCTGGACTTTACCAAGAGGTCCAGGCTAGCAAAGACACAGCAGAAAACAGAAGCTTGTTCTAGTTATATTTGTCCTCCAGGTTTTACTAGACGCTTCAGGCACCACGTCACTTCCCAGCCATGATGCCACAGAACAGAACTAACCAGTCTACAGTCAGTGGCAGCTGGGAATTGCCTTCTGTCCATTGGCAGGTGAATTCACAGCCATCAGCTCCTCCACTCTTCCCAAACTGAGCTCGGGATCTGGCTCCTTTGGCCCGTTCACCAGAATCTGGCCACCCGGGGCTGTTTCTTGCTGAAATGCTGGGGAAGGAAGGAGAAAGCCATCAGTTAGACTGCAAGACAGTCTGGCAAAGGACCAGGAGTTTGCAGACGCAGAACATCAATTAGCCAAAGGGATTCACAGCTGAGTGAAACTGCCCATTGCTCCCAGAGTTGTTGCAACACTGATTATTGTAAGGGGCTTCGTTCAATGAAAGCTTATTGTTGCTATTATTGTTGCTATTATCATCATCATAAACATTAATTATCCTCATCATTGTAGTAATTCTTCTTATTGTTGTTGCTGCTGCTACAACTACTATTATTAATGCAATCCCCATATATTAAAAGCTTGATTTGTAAATCATAAATGGTTATATTTGTCTTTTTTCTTTCTGAGGAATTTGTCACACACACACGTCCTCACTGCTTATGGTGATTGTCTATGCAACCAGCAAAAAACTATCTCCTAAGGAACATCTGTGTGGTCCACAATTCTTACTAATTTTTTAAATTTCTAATTTTAGTAATTAAAATTAGTTTTAGTTACTAATTAGTTTAAAATTAGTTTTAATTACTAATGCAGAGTGGTAAAGTTCCTATTTCACCCTGGCAAAAGGATGAGAGCTGAGATATACCGTAAATCTGTGACTGGCTCTCCTAAAGTATTTTTAATGCCAAAAAGCAGCTGCCCAATTTGGATTGGTGCCAGGGCATGGAAGAAGTGGGGGGACTCTTATGTTCCACAAACAGTTCCATATCCCCCACCCCATTTCTGTTAGCTCCAAGAGAAGAGAAAAGCTGGACATAACACTGACTTGCGAGAAGAAGAATTGCTAAATGGGTTGCAGAATATTTGGGGATGCTCTGGCTTCTGTTGATCCAGCCTGATTGTGGGGGAAACCTTGCTCTGCTAATGAGAAGTGCAGTGGTTGTTTAAACATTGTAAAGGGAGTGGTTCCTCATGAGCCCCATAGGACTCTGATCCACCTCAACCTGTACAGTTCCACTGGAAATGTTCTGCCCAAAAGACCTACTTCTACCAGAGGTTTGTTGGATGGAGCAAGCCACCCCCGACTTACTGGTCTGGGCATGCTCTGAACAAAACTTCCTTGATTGTGATGGGGCTTTGCAGCATGACAAGTCTGAGCAAGATAAAGGAGGCAGGAGCAGGGCCAGCATATCCCCAAGGGACAGGGAAACCAGACAGATTTGGAGCTGGCAGGTATGGCAAAGGCGGCAGTGGCAGCAACTTGTGCTGGTAGACAAGAATGGAGATGGGCAATGCAGAGTTCTTAGCAGACCAACACAGTTGGGCCAAAGCAGGCGACATGGTGGCACTGGCATGGAATGGCCCCAGCTCCACAGAAACATGGGCTGCAGTCCGACTGCAAAAGCAAAAAAGTGTGTGCGTGTCCAGACGAGGAGTGCAGAACCCTCCCACCACCTGTGGTTCTCCTCCTTGCACTCTTCCTTCCCCAGTGCTTTTCTCTCAGCTGTCACTTTCATAACTGAAGCTAGACTCAGAAGAAAAATGCTTGGGGAGAGAAGCTGAGGGAAGAGGCACCACAGGTGCAGGGGATGGGTAAGGTTCTGCACGCCTCACCTGCACACCTCTTTGGCTTTGCAAACCAGGCCCCATTCCCCTCTGTCTACTGCACTGGAGCAATTCTGTGAACTCATCCTCCAGTTGGGCCTACGAGATCTGGCAATCAAAGATCAACCACGCCAGCAAAACGCATCTGGATGGAACTGGACAAAATTGCATGGTGTGTGGAGCAGGGAGGGAAGAGGTTTGGGGATGCTGACAATACCAGCCTAAAGGCACCACAGTCAATGGGAAAGGAGGTGCTGTAATTAGCCCCCACCCTGTTCCCAGATTTGCTTCAGTATAATTTTAAATCATGTGTTTCAACAAATACAAAAAGGTCTCCTGATAACCAAGCAGATAAATGTTACTCCTTCGTGGATCGGCTTCTGCAAGGGAAGGGATGCCTCACTGTGTGATGCCCAAACCATATCAAAACAGGACTTCTGGTATTCCATCCTTTATGAACATCCTCAACATTTCAGGAGGACGGAAGCCAAAAAAAGGTATTTTATCATTCCATATTTCTCAACTCAAACTACTCTGAACACTACTACAGTCACAGGAGAACTGGGGGAGAAGTATTGTTTCCATGTGGTCTCATTTGGACTTTCTGCCTCAGGCACCAAAATGGCTTGATCTTTGCTCATCTCCTGGGTGAATATGACTGGTGCAGACTGTCTGTGGTCACTGATCTTCCCTTGGGCTACAGTCCTCCTGGAACTCCAAGGGCCCAAACCCACCAGCACTCAAACAGATTACTTATCCTTTAAGTATCTTTAGCAACCCTGTCATATCCAAAATGGTTAGAGGGTGCTAGAAGAATTAACAGCCCCACCCTTTCAATTACACAATTATTTTAATATACATTTGTGATTGCAAATATGGAACCAAAGAGATGGCTGAATAAAAATGAATACAGGAAAGTGTTTTTCACCACAGCAGGCCGTTGACATTCCTACTATTTTTCAAATTCTCCGGTAGAGAACTTTCACAGTCTTGCTACCTGGGATCCTTTTAACAGGGGATGCCAAGGGATGACCTTGGGCATACAAGGCCCACATGAGAAAGCCAGTCCGGTTCAATGTTAGACTAAGGCTGGACGGGCACTGGGTTCAAATTCCCACTCAGCAATGAAGCTGGCAAGTGATCTGTGGCCAGTCACTCTCTATCAACCTGAACTATCCTAATGACTTATCATGTCATATCACTGTTGTGTATATAAATGAACTGAGCTCATGGATGTACACTTCCTGCACCTGATGAGGTGAGCTCTGACTCAGTAAATCTTATGCCAGAATAAGTTGTTGGTCTGTAAAGTGCCACTGGACTCCTGTTTTGTATTGCTAAAGGATGGGGCAATATGAGAATAAGGGGGGGGGAGTCTCTGTACCCCGCTGTGAGTCCCGAGGGAGGGGGTGATATCATCAGATGCTCTACCACTCTACTACCTAGCCTCCCCACGGCCATTACTGCAGTTACTCCGGGTTAGTTAATACTGAGTAGCACCAGGCTGAGCCCCGCTCCGCCGGCTGGGACGGGCTTACCGGCCCTGCAACTGTGCCTGGCGCGGACGATCTGCACCGCCTGCTGGTTCTTGAAGCGCACCAGCGCCATGGTGATGTCGGCGTTCCAGCTGGGCTCCTCCTGCGGGCAGCGGAAGTCGATCTCGGCGCCGCCGTCGGTCACCACGGTGAAGTAGATGTGCCGCTGCTTCCACTCGACGCACTCGACGGCCTTGACGTGCGCGAAACTGAGCTCCTTGCAGCGCGTCGAGCCTCGGCTGCCGGCCTCGAAGAGCCGCAGCCCCTTCTCGCTCAGCAGGCAGCGCTTTCGCTTCCAGAGCTGCAGTAGGCCGCCGCTGCGCTTCTCCAGCACCCCCTCCCGCAGCAACTTCTCGGGCGTCATGGGGCCGAGCGGCGCGGAGCCTGCTGCCGGCGAGGATGCGCCGGCTGGGGGAGTCGCCGCCGCCGCCGCTGCTCTCGCCGTCGCCGCGTGGTCTGGCTGCGCCTGGCCGGGGAGCGCTGTCCTCGATCGGCTTCCAAGGCAGAGCCCGCCCTCTCCCTGCCGCGTGAGCCCCGGCGGAGGCTGCCCTGGCCGCTCTGCTGGCGGGATGTGTCGCTACATGCCCGCTCCTTGCGCCTGCCTCGCTCTCTTCCCTTCCCACTCGCATTCCTTTCCTGCTCTGCCGGAGCCTCGCCCCAGAGTTTTGCCTGTCAGACACCGCGCACGCCCAGGCGGGGGCCGGCTCTGCGGGAAGACCCGGGGGCCGGCGGGCCCAGCTAGGAGAAAGGCCCTCCTTTGCCAGGTGGCACCCACTCTGGTTGCTGGGCAGGCGGGCGGCGGAGGCTCGGGCGTGTTGTTGCTGCTGGTGCCCGTCGGCCATCCGCGGGCTTTGACACTTTCGGGCAGCTGCACTATCTCAGAGAGGGGGGAGAGGGCGTGTGTTTAATAAAGCAGAGGTGCAGGTCTGAAGCTGCTGCAGCAGCCACAAAATGCCTCCTGCTGCCCTATACATAGTTTGTCACTTGCGACAAGTACAGGCCTTGAGGTGGCCCCATTTAAGGTGAGGTCACCGAGGGAGCTCCTGTGTGTGACTTTGCACAGGTACAGCGCAGCTATGCCTACTTGCTTAGCGCCACATCTGCAAGGACTGGATCTCTAAGTGCGCAAACTAAGCCCTTGTTGCTGCTTTGCAGTGTTTGCTTTCAGCACTGTGTGACACTGAACAAAGTCAGGGCCTGAAGCTCTTTGGCTTTGCCAGCCTCACATATAATCCAGGTTTGTGGCCTGATTGAAATGTGACCAGTAACTTTCCCAGGCAACATTTCATGTGCCCAGCATCTCTTTTAAATTTAAACTGGGTCCTCAGCAAGTACATACCATTAGCACACTAGAGATCTGCAGCCCAGGGGGGTGTTATGCTGGCATGCTAATGTTGGACTTGTTGTGGGATTGCCTGTGGCCCAGTTTAAATCGGATGCCTAGCGAGGGCATCATCACATAGATAAATTGTGCTTGCCAGTCAGCTTCACTTGTAAATTGGGCCCAAGTTTCACAATATTGTTATGTCCTACTTATTACTTGTATTATTCCTCCCCCCACCCAGGCAGGGGGTGCTTGAAATTTGTATCCAGGGAATAACAGAGGGAAAGGATTTAAATCCCTTTCCTCTCTGTGCTGCTGCTCAGGTCTCAATGGAGACCACATTACTTTAAAAAAAAGAAGGCAGGGAGATTCTGAGTCAGGATCTTCTGGTGTGGTTTGAGCCTTCAAGCCAAAATACACATTGCATGCAAATACATGTAATAAAAGCAGAGTAGCTTTAGGAGGGGATAATTTGCAGGGGGTTAGGGGGCAGGGGAGTGCTTAAGCGAGAATGGTTTGCCTCACAGACTCTCATCTGGAAGATGGCTGGAGAAAGAGGCAAAGGATGAGGGGAGGGCAAAATACCCCTCAAGACCAGTGTTCCCTCTAAGCTGAGTTAGTGTGAGTTAGCTCACAGTTTTTTAGCCTCCAGCTCACACATTTTTGCCTTAGCTCAGGAGGGAGGGCTCCAGAGCAAACTAATATATGCAGTAGCCAAATCGCTTGCTCACAACTTTAATGCCAGTCGCTCACAAAGTAGAATTGTTGCTCACAAGACTCCATAGCTTAGAGGGAGCATTGCTCAAGACTGCTGGCTATGGGCTGAGAATCAATGTTCTCCCCAAAAAAGAGTGAACTAGATCTTGGTTCTTTGAAAGTAGATGACCAAAGGTCCCAAAACAATATTTATTTGTTTAGATATTTATACCTGATTTTCTCCCCAGTGGGGACCCAAAGTGGCTTACAACATCATTCTCCCCACCACCATTGTTATCTCTCAACAAGAACCCTGTGAGGTAGATTAGGCTGAGAGTGTGTGACTGGCCCAAGGTCACCCATCAGGCTTCCATGGCAGAGTGGGGATTTGAATCTGGGTCTCACAGATCCTAGTCCAAAACTCTAACCACTATGCCACTCTGGTTCTTTCAACAACAATATTTTTGAAACAATTTCTCAGTAGAACTCTGCATGTACTTATGTTAGCCCACATTCATTGGGCCAAAGTCTACATTACATATAGTTCCAGGTAGCTTTCCCCTAACTTTTTAAAAAGTCCTGACAAGGAGTCTGGATGCTACAACTGGGAATGAGAAAAGATCATTTCTCCCCCACCCTGCACAGCTGCCTTTTTTCCCCTTTGGAGAAAAGATATGTGTATTCTGGGTGGGGGACCTGGGTTGGTTTTAAGTGGAAAACCACCTAGTAAAAAAATTGTTCTTCATACCTCTCCATTACTCCTAACTGCAGGCTCCAGCACCTGCTTTTCATTTGAAGAAGACACTTGGGAGAAAGTTTCCACGGGATTCCCCATGACGTGTCGTTAGGCTCCTAAATGTTAATATTCAGTCACACCTCTGCAATGCATGGGTGTTTTGTAATATGGTAGTAGCAAAACAAAGATGAGTGTCTCCTGATAGGCGATTCAGATAAAAGCTGTAGTAAAGCTAATGCTGTATGACAATTTACAGAGATCTGGTAAACAGTGTACTTTGTGACATTCTGCAGCTTGGGTTAGGAATGACACACAATCCTGGAAAACACCTTTGAGCCTCCTTATTTGTGGCACGCATGAATGTGACATAGACTGAAAGAGAAACAGAGTCTATGCTCAAACTCACTGATGATCCTCCGGAGGCTGTGTGCAGCATTGCGTTGGCCCCATATTGTGGAAGCCACTTCACTGCACCAACAACCTCTGCGCCAGGACTTGGTAGCTATAGCCTCCACCCAAGCCCCGTGAGTCTTAGGCAATTAGGAGAGTGATCCCTCTAAGGTAGCCTCAGGAGCCTCCCTTGCAAAGAGCCTGAATGAAAATTCCCCAAGCAACTCAGTGCTCCCTGAAAACCATCTCTGACTTCTCCAATGTTAAGTGGTGCACTGGTGTTAAAAATTAATTCAAATGTAAACTGGTTTAACTCTTGCTTTGTGAAAATATCTAAAGTTTAAAACACAAAAGGTGTACTTTTTCTTATGGACAACACTGCAAACAAATTCCAAAGGGTTCGTTATTAATTTAAGCCTAAAATTATAGACATAATGATGAATAAGAGTGTTTATAGCTGATTGGTTATAAGTGCATTGTATTAATTATCATGTGCTTAATATTGTCCTTGGTAGCTTAAGAGAACAATCTAAAACACGTTTCCTCAGAATCTACTACATTCTATTCCAGTGGTGGCGAGCCTATGGCATGGGTGCCAGAGGTGGCACTCAGAGCCCTTTCCGTGGGCACGCGTGCCATCGCCCCAGCCAGGCCCAGACCATCATTAAAGTGTCGAATTATCTGCCTGTGGTGATTTCTTGTTTATTTTTGTGTGTGTGTTTAAAAGTTTGGTTTGTATGGATGTATGACAGACTAGGGTGTTGGAAGCAGGCAAGTGGTATGATTGGTGAGTGACAGAGGGGGGGAGGGGTTTTGGAATGGATGCTGTGTGGATGATGTGTATGTCTGTGAGGAGTGACAGTTAGAGATGACAGGGAATGCAGAGTGTGGAAGTTCAATAAAACAGTTAGAGTTAAGTCTTGTTCTGAGGGAGTCAGCAGAGAGTGCTGTGTAAAAGCAGTTAATATGAGTTTTGTTCTGTGTGATATCTGAGAGAGAGCGCAGCATATATCTTCAATAAGGAATCTTTAAAGTTCTGAAAGCAGTTAAATTTACAAAGAGATTAAACTGTGTGGTTGCCTAAGTAAGAGATTCCTGTCAGCACTAAAACTGACAGAGTGTGTGATACAGTTGACAAATATAGTTACAAGAACCTTATTCCCAGCCAGTTACATAATATCCAACCTTTAGTTTTGTTCCTCTTCAAATAAATCCTTTTTATTTAAGTTTATCCCAGAAGCCTGATCCATTATTCCTCTGGAAACACATAGTTCCTCGAAAGGCCAGACCCTGGGTCACAATACCAAAACCAGAAACAGAAAGTATAAAGGTTTGGAAAGCCTAAAATATTCCTGGTGGCAGCCAGATATCCATAGGAAAATAAAACATAAGAACCCTTTTAAAGGGAAACCAGACCTCCCCAGATAAGAGATCGTCACACTGCCAAATAAGCTTATACATGATATAATACATATGAACATTAGTACTTACATCTTAGGTAATTGTACAACAAAATTTAAAATACACTTGGTACAAAACCTTTCTGGATGATGTATGGAAAGTTGCACTTCAATAGAAAGCTACCCGATTCACATGGAGTTCAATAACAGTTTCTAGAAAAAACATAGCAAAGCAGTGAAACCAGACAGGCTAACTACACATAATTATATAAAGCCAAAGCTTATACAAAAACCAAAGCTGTTCAAACCTACTTACCACCTATTTCATTGCACAAGTAATGGAGAAAATTTCTCTCAGATGAAGTAAAGCTTATGTGTTGACCAGGTGTTGGTGGTGAACTCAGTATAAGCTTATAGATTCTTGGTCAGAAGAATACGTTTGTTGAAACGGCATCACATTCCGGAGACCACCGTCCCGCCGTCATTATCTTCTATCTTATGTAACTGGATTTACAATTTGAGTGTATTAGTATCACTTTTGTAATTTTCATATTTATAACATTATTGCTATCGTTAAAGAAACATTGAGCGCACTTTACACAGTAATATGAGTTTGGGACAGTTTGGAGTCTAGTTATTGTGATCCTAATTTCAGCTATGGCCTGTTTGACCTGATTTTGTCTTGTTCTCCCCTTAATCAACATTTTAAAGGTAGAAATTCTTGTGATCGTGCCTATGCCATTCACTGCCACAAGTACTGAGAAACCAAGTGTCTTTGAGAAGGAATTTTGACTCTTTCACTCAGAGGAGCACTGAAGAAAGGCCAGAGCCTCCAGAACCTGGGAAACAACAGAGTGCGTTCTACACAAATGCCCAGAGGAATCAATTAAACCTCCATAGACAGCCTGAGAAATGGTGAGTCAGAAAAGACAAGTGTATGTCTTAGACTAATAACAGAGGTGTGAAAGTGAGTGTTGCCCTAATGGTGCTACCTAAGAACTGGCTGAGTTCGTTTCGTGTTTTTTTTTACCAGCTGGATAGAGGTGTCCAAACTGCTCTTCGTTTTGTAGTCTGCCCTGTAGGTGAAACTTATTATAAAGTGTAGGGCCAGATACCCTGGATCCAGTATCCCCTC